CTTTAGTACTAGAAGGATGTTCCAACATTAGAAAAGGGACCTGATTGGGAGTTGATGTTGAAGGAGCTCCAATTATATCTATATCTTCACTTCCTACAATTGTTGGAACTCTTTGTAGTGATAAATTAAGTTGATGAATTGCAAGTATTAACTCCTTCAATTTCTCTTGCATTTGTACTATTGCACTCTTTATTTCAATTAGCTCTGCTATGATAATACTTAGAAAATAAATATCTAATATTGTTCATGATAAGTAAAAGAAAGGACTTGAAAACAAAGAAGATACTATGAACAATATTAAATTAGAAGAAAGTAATCTGCAACTTCTAATATGCTCATGTCTTATGAAGAAAAAAAAATATTCTACTCTTAATTAAGAGAAGACAAATCTCTAATATTGTAAGTATATACTTGTCAATTTGTGAAAGACATGAACTGAAAGAAGATGCATAAATTTGAAAAATTTGTGTAAAAAAAAAAGTAATAAAATAGAAATAAAGTACTATGTATATTAAATGGAAATTGGAATGGCTATTGCCAAATGACAAGAAAAGCAGAAACTCTTGAATCTAGATTAGAAGCAAGAAAAGAGTTGATAAGAGTGAAGAGGGCTTCATTCTTGCTTCTATATGTACTATCTAATTAAAAGCTATATGATGATATTCTATAAGACCTCTAATATGTGTTGAAATTATAAGATACATACTTTAGCTTACAAGACAATTTTTTATGTGTGAGCCATATAATTAGCTTGTTCTTCAAGCTATTAACATGTGTGGCATATGACCAACTTGTTGATCATATTTCTAACCTAAAAAATTAATTATAGATACCTATTAAGTCAAAGCGATGTCTATACAGCTTTTAAAAAGTTTTTATAAAAGATATTATAGAATAAATCTATATTTATCTACTTTTATCTAATCATATAGGTAATTATTGATTTACATGTATATGTTCGTAATATAGAATCATAAAGACAATGCTCTAGAAGAATATCTATATTCATCTTTTCAAAATCATTCTAAAAATATTAATATTGGCTAGAAATATCACTTGATATCTTTTCACCATCAACAATGGGCATGGTATATATAGCAAAAGATGGCCCTTCATTTGCAGCATGCATGAAAGCTCTTGCACCTACCAATAAAGGTTTGACTATACTAGATTTTTGGATTTCTTCTTGCTTAGCAAGATCTTGAACTAAATTATGGGAGAAATCAACATTACAAGAAATCTACTCTATCTAAGGATTATATCTTTCTAACTACAATAATCCTAAAATAATTGAATGAAAAAGAGATTTAATCACATTAAATATTACTAAACTATTGTGACTACTAATTGCTACTTCTATAAGAATAGTTTTATGTGTAACATCTGTAAAAGATAATGAATGTCCATCTATTACTTTTACATGCATAAGTTTGATTTTCTTAACTGAGAATATATCTTATTTTTTTGACAAATTTTCATCTATAAAACAGGCTGAGGCTCTTGAATCCAAGAAGGCTAAGACTTTATGATTTTTTGGTCCTAAATAGACTTCTATTATAAAACAAGGTAAAAGATCAAAAGAGAGAATAGAATTTTTAGTAGATTTTATACATGATTTCAGCTGAATAGTCCCTATTATAGCTGAAGCAAGTCGTTTTTTGACACATTGTCTTCTTTGGCAATCATACTTTTCATTTTGTAATTATTTTTTTTCTTTGGACAATGTTGAATAATATGTTTATCTTCTCTACAATATAAGCATAAGCCCTCTTGACATTATCGATTCTTTTTTTACTCTATAAGGGATTTAAAACATATATTATGTATTTGTATTGATTCTTGCTTTAATAAATAAGTTTTTGAAAACTTAAGAACTACCGTCATTATTTAATTTGTTATTTTCTAGTCATATCTTTGTTCTTGACGTCTTTGAAATAATCAATTATCACATGCAATGGCTTGAGGAATAAATTGTTCTAAAGATTTTATTTTTGATATAATTAATAATAAATCTTTGATATTATCTTTCAATCTATATCAAAATTGATTGATAAGGGCTTTATCATTTCAATCCATGTCGCAAGTGAGATTTTGGAATTTAGCAGCGTATACGGTGGCTAACCATGATTCTTATCATAAAGATAAGAGCGTAGTCTCTGCTACTCTTCTTTCATCACTTTTTCCAAATGTGGTCGTAAATACTTCTAGGAATAAATTCAAATCATAAAAGAGTCGCAAATATTTTTTCTTTATAGGTACAAACGAAGATAGAGCACTTCTTGATAGAAGTGCACTTATAAATCCGACTTAAGTAAATTTATTGGGATATTGAAAAGAATGCAATCTTACAAAGAGCTTGACTTATTACAAAAATCTTTGAAATTTTGATCTTGTTCCATCAAATTTCTTGGGCATATTAATTCTTATCCTCTTCATACTTGTAGAAGCAAAATTTATTGGATTTGGTTATGAGATCAATCTACTTGCTTCCTTGAAGTGCACAACTTCTTGCCACAGACTTTGAACTTCTGCTATAGGTGTAGATATAGTACCTCCATGATGCACATTGGAAATATGTGAGATTTTTACTCTTAGAGTATTGAGAAGTTCATGAAGATTTGTAATAGTTACAAATCTATTTTTTCCATTGGTAAGAGTAGCATCCATAATTTTTCCTTCCATAGATAACTCAAATAAATTTAAAAAATTAAATTAAAAGAAGGTAATCCGTAACTTCTAATAAAATTTTTGACAAAGAAGAATAATTTACTTCTTTAAGGAAAAGATCAATGTTAAAAAATATATATTTTTCTATTTAAAGGTAGATAGTCCATAACCTTCAAAATACAAAAATAGAAGAGGAATAATCCACTCACTTCTAAAACAAGATAAAAACGATAGATTAGTATTTTTGTCAAACTATCAAGGACATGAATCTCAAAGAAAGAAAATCCTCAATACACTCTTGTGTCACTAAAAAAGAACTAGTAAATCACTCAAAGATGATATAATATTGAACTAGAATGGCTATTACCAAAAACAAGAAGATTAAAAAGTCTTAAAACAAGACTAAGAACTAGAAAGGCCTTGACAAGAGTGAAGAAGGCTTCATTCTTACCTCCATATATACTTTCTAACTAGGAGCTATGTGGCAATATTCTATAGGACCTCCAACATGTATTGACTTTGTAAGCTACATGTCTTAATTTGCATGGCAAGTTATCTATGTATGCACTACATAATTAACTTGTTCCACAAGCTACTACATGGAGTTAACTTATTCCACAACCTATCAACACATGGTTAACTTGTTGGCTAAGTTTCTAACCTATAAACACATCTAAAGTTAGAATGGCATCTATGAAGCTTCTAGGAAGCTTTTTTAGAAGACTTTATAAAATTAATCTATATTTATTTACTTCTACTTCATCATATAAGTAACAATTGAGATAATTATATATGTTTGTGATACCTCTACAATAAGGCAATGTTTAAAAGAACAAAGGAACAATAAATTCTTAATCCTAAGTGCACAAACAATTGTTCACTATACTTATCAAATCTACATCTATCTATTTTTTTAAAAATTAATCAATAATTAATTTAAATATTTTCTTTAAAATTAAGGTTAAAAATTTATGATCAAAGAATAACCTTTGTTCAAGCAAATATCATGAAGTAAGCAAAGAATATTAGTTAAAGAATATAATTTTAGTATAGTACCTTTGTATATATATATATATATATATATATATATATCTATTTATTTTAATATACATATTTGAAATTATAACTCTATATTTTTCCATAATATAACTTAATCAAAAATTAAATGAAAATAATGGAAGAGGAATGAGTAGAATCTAGTCAAACAAATCTATGCAATCAAAACCATATTAAAAAAAATTCTACAAAGTTCAATTGGCTTTGGAAACAAAGAAAAGAGCTAGAGTATTTGCAGACAATCTCTATGGTAACAAAATCTAAAAATCATATACTAAAACACTATAAATTCTTAATTTCCACCAATCTCTATAATATAACAATTTTGCTTGCATTTTAAGCTTTTCATTTCATCCATCAATAATTCATGCATATCAATAAGGATGGATGCTAGATAGTCTCTTCGGATATAATAGGCAACTTAATAACAGACAACCAAATACTGGGCTGCCTTCAAAATATTGATAATAGACATTTTAAGTTAAGGATTTCAAAAAATTAAAAAATTAAACTGAAAAAAAAAATGAAAACATTATTGGGCAACTAAAAAATTTCATCCAGACGTCCCATCCATGCGTCCATACATCCATCCACATTATTGGATGAATAATTTTTTTGACGAATGTCATCGACCGTAAAAGGCTTCGTCTGCTTCAGCAAGCATGGAAGCTTCTCCGACGAGGCCATTGCGTCGGCGAGCACTCGTTTGCGGGATCACCGCAGCCATGGCCATTGCGTACGACAATTCATGCCCTGGCTTCGGCGTTTCCAGCGAGGCGTTCATGGCGGCCAAGAAAGCGAGGGAACCGTTTGCAGGGATCTCTAAGAGCGGTTTGTAGGTTCGTGGTTTCGCTCATCCCTCACGAATCCCCGTTCCGTGTGCGCTTCAAACGCCACAACCGTCCTGAGATTCTCGACCACGGGTGGGGCGAGTCTGTTTTATCATGAATGCTCTCTCTTCTCAGATTGTCGATCACGCTTCTGCATTCTTGGATCCAAGTGAAACTTTGCTCTCCTTGTGTGCTCAGAAGCAATGTCGGTACTTGGAGGAATTTCCAAATGGGGATCAGAAACTTGAAATCGGACTTTGTGTTATCCGCAGAAAGGAATTCCAAAATCGTGGTCCGTGGGTTGTGACGACGACCTCACATTCATTGTGGTGAAACGGTACGTGAATGCAACACATGTCCCGGACTTTTTCAAAGTACACGTGGCTGGGAGATACAGATCCAAGTGGATCAGATGTAACCCACAGATGAGCTGAAGAGCTCTCCTCCCAAGCGACATAAATTTCTGAGTTCGGGCACTGGATTGTAATGGAGTTCACTGCAATTGATTTTTAGAAGTTGAGATTATAGGTGAACTCGATTCGTAAAGACCCACAAATCGTTAGTGTTTACTGTAGGGAGTTTCCGGATAGGCTTGGAGGTTGCTCACATTCCCGCACGGTGCTGTTGCCGATCAGCCTGACGTTCCCCAAATGGCATCTTCCGATGGCAAGTCAGACCAGCAACCGGAGAATTTCCGCTACTACCAGATCTATGCCTCAGAGGATGGTACAACGCATTTCAAATCGTGCCAGATGCATGGCTTTGAGTTGAAGAAGTACGCTGAGGATTCGCAGTACCAGAGGTCGGACTTCGGGGGCGAGACTACGAAGCTCGTGTTCACGGAGTTGGCGCCTGGGCTGGAGCAGGACCTTCATTGCTGCCCGGAAGTTCAGTTTGTGGTTACTCTCTCTGGGTCCTGGTAAGAAATGCGACATTCCCTTCTCTGCATTTATTACGGTTTTGGTTTGAAACATTTCCCACAACAATAGATCCACCGTTTACGCATTCGTGGTCCTCTTCTTTATCTCTCAATTCTGAAAGATTCATGCTGTGTTTGGATGATTAGGTATGTAAAGACGAGCGACGGAACTAAGCACACCTTCAATCCAGGAGATGTGTTGTTCCAGGACAATACGAAAACATCCCCTGCGTCCAACAAACCGCAGCATTACTCAGGAGTTGTGGGCGACAAGCCTTGCCAGCAGATGATTGTGCAGATATCTCGAACTCCTGAGGTTGATAACCCCAATCCTTTCTGAAAATCCCCTAGTCCTAATTCTCTCTGTGATTGAGGTTACTGAGGCACATGCTTTGTATTCGACTTCATGTGCTACATGTAGTGTTACTTTATTGTATATTGCCTTTGTTGATGTGAATATGTTTCGCATATTATCACAGTCTGCCTTTCGAAGAGTTCAGGGAGATGGTCTATTGTTTGCATATCCTTGGGTTTAGGAAGAAGAAGGTTCTGTACCTTTTTCCATCCTGCAACAGTGATGCTCCTGTGCCTTGTAGTGATAGGGTGTGTAGCTTAGTTCGTATGTCCTTGAAAGCTCATAGATCGCTGTGAGATGGAGCGGTGAGCCATGTTATTGCAGAATGTGTAATGCAAATCTAGCACTATTCTTCTTATCAAGCCTGTCTGTTCTTTGTTGCGGACTGACATGCATCACAATTGTCCACATTTCTATCTTCAATGAAGGAAAAACATTTAACATTGCAATTTTTTCCTAAGTAGATTAATACTAGGAATATCCATTGATTGAGAAAATTGTGAACTGACTCTCTACATACATAAAAGTGAATACCTTTTTAACCAAGATAAACAAAGAACTAATAATTAACAATGAGAAAACTTACACCATCTGGAGGTAGTACTACAGAATGAAAACATTAGATTTATATGCACATATTTAGGCCAAACAACAAATGCCATAGTACTAATAAAAAACTATAATGAGATGATGCCTATTCCAATGCCAATCAAAGTACAAAAGTTTGGAAATGTAGAAATGTGTGTTCAATGATCATTATACTTCAAATGCATTAACATTCAAAGTGAGTTGAGAAAATTATTACATACAATCTCTACAATAAAATATTGTGAATGTAATTTTTAATTTAACTTAATTTTTATAAATTTGAAGTATAAAAAGATATGTATCTTTATTGTTGATTTTTAGAATAAATAATAAATAGATTTAAGTTTATTTATTTATTTATTTATTTCATGGTTGTTCATTTCAATAAGAAATACAAATTTTGGTAAGAGAGATTTATTCCACTTAGCAAAATTATCAATTCTAATCATGCCCACATTCATGTCTTCAATTTAAATCTTAGAATATATATATTTAAATTAAATTCGTCTTTTTAAAAATATTTTATAGTATTATTTAAATAATTATATATATATATATATATATATATATATATATTGATATTAATATTTTATACAAAATTTTTTATATAATTTTCTACTTGAAAGTTTGGTTATATTTTATCTTTAAAGATCTTAATATTATGTTGTTTCTAAAGTGTCCCAAAAAATGCTCAATCTATTAATGACCATAATCTTATCATATTACTTATTTATAAGATATCTTTTTTTAAAAAATACTTATTTTAGGTTACAAATATATTAAATTAAAGATAGTATAGTCTTAAAAGTAGAATGTTTGTAGTTGATTGATAGGTTAGAAATTTGGCTAACAAGTTAACCATGTGTTGCATGTGTAGGTAGCTTGTGGTACAAGCTAACAATATGGCATGCATATAAAAAACTTGCCTTGTCAATTAAGACATGTATTTTGCAAATTATATATGTGTTAGAGGTCTTATAGAATATCACCACATAGCTCCTAGTTAAATAGTATATATAGAGACAAGAGTGAAGCCTTCTTCACTCTTGTCAATGCCTTTCTAGTCCTTAGTTTTACTTCAAGCCTTTCTAGTCTTCTTGTCTTTAGCAATAGCCATTTTAGTTTAATATTATACCACCTTTGAATGATTTTTTAGTCTTTTTGAGTGATACAAGAGTTTATTGATTTCTTAATTCTTTGAGATTCATGTCCTTGATAGTTTGATAAGAATGCTAACTTGTTATTTTAGTTTTGTTTTAGAAGTGAATGGATTACCTTACTTCTATTGTTGTGTTTTGAAGGTTGTGAACTATCCACTTTTAAATTAAATTTTAGTTTTCTAACATTAATTGTTTTTCTTAAAGAGAGTAGATTAATTCTCTTTGTAGAAATTTTTATTTGATATTTGGATTGCACATTATCCTCCTCTAATTTGACTTGTGAATTTATTTAAATTATCTATGGAAGAAAAAATTATAGATGCTATTTATAAGAAAAGTGAGAATAGATTTGTAACTATTGTAAATCAATATGAATTTATCAACACTTTTAGGATTAAAATTTCATATATTTCTAACGTAAACCATGGAGGTATTATTCCTATACCTATGGAAGAAGTCAAGAATGAAGTTCAGACTCTATTCTAAGAAGTTATATACTTAATAGAAGCAAGTAGATCAAGTTTACAATTGAACATGAGAAGACTTATTTTTACAAGTATGAGAGAGGTAAGGATAATTATGCGAGAGAAGTTTGATAGAATAAGATCAAAGTTTTGAAGATTTTTACAACAAGTCATGCTCTTTCTAAAATTGCATCTTTCTCAATAACTTGATAGATTTACTCAAGTTAGATTCATAAATACACTTCTATTTGAGAATAGTCTTTCTTGGTTTGTACCTTTGATGGAAAATGATTCATGATTTTTTTATAATTTAAATTTATTCTAAGAAGTCTTTATGTTTATATTTAGAGAAAGTAATTTAAAGATAATAGCAAAGAGTAAATTCCTATTTTTATGACAAGGATCACCTTTAGCCACCATATATGCTATAGAATTCCAAAACCTTGCTTGTGATATAAATTAAAATAAAAAAGCCTTTACCAATCAATTTTGATATGGATTAAAAGATAATGTCAAAGATTTATTCTTGATAATATTGTGAACAGTCTCATTGGAGCAATTTATTGCTCAAGCCATTGCATGCAACAATTGGCTCTTTAAAAGATGCCACAAACAAAGGTTTGGTTGAAAAGATATAAGTCAAGTCCTAGCAACAACTTTTAAGTTTACAGAAGCTTAGTCATCAAGGTTGGAACTTATGCAAATTGGCATAGTACATTTCAAACTTCTTACTTAGCAAGAAAAGGCTTGACATTGTCAAGAAAGATTGTGCTTGTATAGTAGAGAATTTAAGCACATTGCTTAACATTAACTAAAGAAACAATGCAATCATATAATGAAGAGCATAGTTTCTAAAGAAGACAATATGTTGAAAAACAAGTTTCTCCAGCTACAATAAGAACCATGTAATTGAAATCTTACGTAATATATAGTAAAGGTCCTACTTTTTCCTTAGATCCTTCACCTTATTTTACAATTGAAGTTTATTTAGGACCAAAAAATCACAAAGTCTTTATCTTGTTAGATTTAGGAGTCTCAACTTATTATATAGACAAAGTTTTTATTAAAAAATAAGAAATGTCTTTAATTAAGAAAAATAAACTTGTACATATAGAAGTCATAGATAATTATTTTTTTTTCTTTAGAAATATTATCCATGAAATAATTTTCTTAAATATAGCAATTAAAGATCATAATAGCTTTGTAATATTTAATGTGATTAGATCTCCTTCTAACTTAGTTATTTTAGGATTATTGAGTCTAGAAAAGTATAACCTTGAAATATATTGAATTTCTTGTGAATTTTATTTTTTTTGTAGTTTAGCCCTTAATTTTGCTAATCAAATAAAAATCCATAAGTCCAATACAATTCAACCCTTATTGATAGATGTGAGAGCTTTCATGCATGCTGCAAAAGAAGAGTATGCTTTTGCTTTAAACAATATACCTATTTTTGATGAAAAAAAGACTTTTAATTGTATGTTAAGTCAATAAGAAGATTATCAAGATATTTTTGAGAAGAATAATATAAATATTCTTTTAAAGCATCATCCATATGACTGTTCTATTGATCTTCAAGATAGAACTCAACCACTATTTAGACCAATCTATAGCTTATTATAGAATAAATTGGATGTATTTCAAGAATAAATTGATGAAAATTTGACTAAAAACTTTATACGCTATTCTAAATCTTCAATAGAGGCTCCTATCTTATTTTTGAAAAAAATAAAGATGGATCTTTGTGAATATATGTGGACTATTTAAAAGTCAATAAGATCATCATAAAAAATAGATATCCTCTACCTTTGGTTTCAAGCCTTCTTGATCAACTCAATCAAACAAATTTCTCTACAAAAATAAAACTACAAAGAACATACAACATAGTATGCATCTAACAAGGAGATAAATAGAAAATTGCGTTTGAATCAGGTATAAGCATTTCAAATATAATGTCATGTCTTTTGGACTCACAAATGTATTAATTTCTTTTTAGTATCTAATAAATGATGTCTTTTGTAAATTTCTTGATGACTTTATTTTCAGTTATCTATATAATATTTTAATCTGCTCTAAGAACATAAAAAAGCATAAATTTCATGTTCATCATGTATTACAAAAATTAAAAGATGTAGGATTATAAGCCAAGATAAAAAAATATTTATTTCATACTCCTCAGTTGACTTCTTAGGATACATAATTTTAAATGATAGCCTTATGATGGATTCTAAAAATGTTCAAACTATCATACATTGGAAGATCTCAAAAACAATCAAAGATATGTAATATTTTTTGAAATTTGCCAATTATAACCAGATTTTCATCAAAAACTTTTTTCAAGTTGTAGCTCCTCTTACACATCTAACATATAAAGACAAACTTGAGTAGAGCAAAGAAGTTGAAGTATCTTTTAAAGTCTTAAAGACAACATTTATTTTTATAAAATTCTTATATTTTATCAAATTTTCTTAGTTTTTTTTTTTTTAATCAAAATAGATGTATCAAACTTTGCTATAGGTGAGGTGTTGTCACAAATGGGAGCAGATGACAAGCTCCATCTAGTAGCTTCTCTTTGAAGAAAATTTTGAGCAGATGAGATCAACTATGAGATCCACTACAAACAACTTTTTGTAATTATGGATTTATTTTAAGAATGGCATCATTATCTAGAAGGCACTTCTAGTCTAATCATTGTATATACAAATCACAAGAACCTTAAGTATTACATGTCAATACATATTTTGAATTATTGTCAAGTTCGTTGAATCATGTCTTTATTAAGATTTGATATTAAGATCACTTATTAACTTAATGTGAATCATCAAATTAATTTATTAGTTGTTTAAGGATAAAAAGATGCATTTAGAGTGCCAAAATTATAATATATGATGAGTAGTGTAGAAATTTTTAAATAAATAGTGAATTAAAATGTTATAAAAATAAAATCTTAATAAATCTTGGAGGTAATTATATTAATTGGTTTAATATTTTTATTTATTATTGAATATTAAATATTAATTATTAAGATCTATATCTAAAATGGTCTTTTATCTATATATATATATATATATATATATATATTTATATATATATATGTATATTATTTATAAAAAACTATAAATTTTAATTAGTAGTTAAAAGAATCATGAG